CATGCATTCACCTTTGCAAAACAATTATATGGAATGGTGATTTTTAACTTAATTAAAGTCTTTAGTATATGATACTTAAGGTTGGGGTTTTGTGGTATTCAAATAAGTTTCTTCGTCACATAATCAACCAAGTAGATTTGTCGTGATGTAATCTTCTCCGTTAAGGTGCAATTTTAAAAATAGTCAATGTTTGCTACCATAAAAACTCACATAATAAATATAGAACATGAATTCAAAATTCAAAACAAATAATACATTAAAAAGAACATTAGAATTAAGGAATAAGTTGACTTAATAAAAAAAATTAAAGGTGGTCAAAATTAGGGATGGCAAAACGGGCTAGGCCCGGCGGGCTGGCCCGCCAGACCCGCCATAATATGGCGGGGCGGGTTGGTGTTTTCGACCCACCGACCCACTTTGGCCCGATCCCGCTAAGCTCGCCAACCCGTCGGGCCAACCGCGAGACGAGGCGGGCCAGCCCACGGCCGCCTAATTAATAAAAAAATAATTTTTTTTTGTAATAAAATTAATTATAAAGATAATATATAAAGTTAAAAATTTTAAAAAGAGAATTAAAAAAGTTTCATTCTCACGAAAATATTCTCCTCGAAATATAACATTCTCTCATGTTCCTTATTTATCCTTAGATCGATTATATTTATCCTTATTACTTGAATTAAAGGTATAAGAATTACTCAACCAAGTATAATATGAAGTTTTATCAAATAAAAAAGATATAGGTATTTGAATTTTTCAATATAAAAAATATAAATTTTATAAGTTTAACGTTATTTATATATATATATATATATATATATATATATATATTTGTTATTATTTATTATTATGTAAATTTTATTATTGTTCTAAATTATAATTTCTTAAAATAATATATTGATTTATATTATTAAATTGAAATAATATATATATATATATATTGAATTATTGACAAACAAATAATAATCTTATTATTAAATTTATTAAATTTTTTTTTTAAATTATGGCGGGCCAAGGTCTACGACCGTCATGACTATATCGAGCTAGCCGCCTGCACCGCTTTAGCGGGCCAAAGCGAGGCGAGCCAAAGCGGAGCTGGCCGCGTTTGCCATCCCTAGTCAAAATCTAAAAACTTTGGAAAACAAAATAAATTTACAATAATCCAAATAATTTTAATATCACTTTCACGTGATACAAGGAAAATAACCATCCAATACATTTCTATCTAGGAAACCTAAATCATAACTAACGTTAAATTTCGATGTCCAAAATATAGAATTGCATGATTTTATTTTTATCTTTTTTTCTAAAGGAAAAAAAAATTCCTTTAATTTAATCATTTATATTTATGATTTTGTTTTCTTCACATGTATTATTTGAATTGAAATATTAAAACATAACACCATCTTCATAAAAAAATTTCGAATAATACATTTTTAATGACCGTCTCGCGAGCTAAATTCTGATATGTATTTTAATATTTTTTTAAAATAAAAAGTATTTAATAAATATATATATTTATATAAAATAAATATATAAATATAATATATTTATATATTTTAAATATTTATTTATATAATTATATCAAATAAAATTCAGACTTTTTCATGGTGTGGAGGAAGTGACCGATCTTGACATTTAGGGTCAAATAATATATAAATATAAAAAAAAAATGAAAAAAATAAAAAGATAAAATTTTACATATATACTTAAATATATTAAATAATAAATTATAAATTATATAAGAGTTACAAATTTGAGAGAATAAAATTATAAATATACAAATAAATATATTAAATATTCATTAAATTTTAGATAAAAATCATAAATTATACTAAAATTACAAAACTTTAAAGTTGAACTCCCAAAATAGGAAGGCTTCTTACCAAGTTTAATGTATCAATTTATTTTACATTAATTTAGTTTTACAATTTTTCTTAAGAACTGTGATTTACTTTTCAGACTAAATAATAAAGTTCGTATCTTGGTATATTCCGTGAGTTACTAACATTTAAAGTTAAATTTTATAAAAGAAAAAAGTAAAATTTAAGTTTCTTAAAAATAACACTTTAAATTTTTCGTTATAAATTTAATTTACGGTAAAATATCTTATTTCAAACAATAATTATGAAAAATATTTAAATACATGATAACTAAATAACTAAAATATTTTATATGATTTTTATTTAATATTAAATATTTTATCAAGTTTTCAATTATCAATAGTAAAAAAATAATTTATTTTATGTTATGTACATTAATATTAAGTGATATGTAAATTGACTTAATAAATGTGGACAATGAGAGTTTCAGGTTCACAAAATTTTGATTCAATACATCTTTGGACAATAGATTCATAATCTGTTTCTATCTATTAGATACCATTTAAATCCGAAAACATCACTTGATTATTTATGTCTCTTCAAATCAACATCTTTTTTTTTTCAATATATATTAATGATTAAAATATCAATAAATAATTAATAATATATAAAAATAAATTATTTTAATTATATTAAATATAAGTATTTGTGATAATTATGATATGAAAAGTATATTTATTTTTTAATTTATTTATATTTTAATATAAAAAAGTTGAACATTATTAAGCTGCACCAGTCTTATATATATAGTTTCAATCTGTCTTTAAAAAAAAATACTGTTAGTTAACGATAACAGTGTTTAATTAAGACATTTATTAATAATGACATAAAACTAAATTTAATAAATAACGTAATTGACTTCTTTTCCTTTATAGTTTTATATTTTTTATTGAAAAAGTTTATTGAAAAGTATAAATATAATTAAAAATAGAAAAATACATATCAATGTTGTATTTAGATGGAGGGATGAATTTGAGAGAATACAAAAAAAAAAGTTATTTCGACTGAGTGGAAGAAAATAAAAAATAAAATAAAACATAAAAATAAGAAAAAAAATTTATAAAAAATAAAATTAATTTGACTGAATAAAAAATTTAAATAATAAAATAAATTTATTCAAAGTTCAAACTTAAAATTTTATAACTATAATGATAAGAGTTTAATTGTTAATATAAATTTTATATTATAAAATAAAAAAATATTATAAAAAAATAATTAATGTAACGACCAATATATTTATTATAGATAATTATATTTAATTAAAGTATATTTTAATAATATTTTTATGTAATCTTTATTATTGTTTTTAATGCAAATAAGAGAAGTTATATTTATTTGAATAATAACATTGAAGTTTGTAATTAAAATATAATTATTTTGTATTTTATATGTTAAATAATTTAAATAAAATTGATTACGTAAATTAGACATAATCATTATGTATTAAAATATAATAGTTATTTTATCTTCCATAATTAATAATGTTTATTTATTCTATATAATAATTAATAATTAAAATATAATAAAGACATTCATAATATTCCACTTAAAAAAATTAATGAATCTTTCTAAGATTTAAATTAAATATAAAAATCATACAATTATTTATACAAATTATCACCATCATCAAATTCAAAGTATATTTTTATTTCACATGTTCATCCTCTCATGTTTTTTTTTCTTAAATAAAACATAAGTATTTTATTTGAAATATTTTGTTTTCAACTGATTAATGTATATATATATATATATATATATATATATATATATATATATGAATTATTTTATATTTATAATATTTATAGATATTGATAAATATTTTTTATTTTTATTTTTTAAATTTAAATAACATTATTTCAAAATTATCCTTTAAAATTTATATAGAATTATATAATAAAAAATAGTACAAAAAAATAACTTTTTAAAAGATAAAAAATAAATTATTTAAAATAAAATTAATCTCTTTAAAAATAATTTTAATTTCATAAATTTAATAAAAAAAACGTAAATATATAAAAAACTAAACAACTATTTAATTATTATTTTTCATTAATAATTCTATTTTGATTATTATTTAATATATATATATATATATAATATGTGTTATTTTTACTATATTTTTAATTTATTATTGTATTAAATGATTTAATAAGAATATGTAGTGGTTTTAATTAAATATTTATTTAAACTTGAAAAAGTTAGACTTTCACTTAATATAAAAATATTAATTTTTAAATTTACTCAAAAATAATTCTCAAACAATTTAGCTCTTTGAATAATGTTATTTAAAAAAAAACAAAACATTAGAAATATACCAGCTCAACTTTACAATAAACTAATTCTTTTTATTTAGGATATGTTTGAGTAAATTTTTCATAAAGACTTATAAAATAATAAATTATAAATTGTAATTAATTTAAGTACGAGTTAGAAAAATTAAATTTTAAAAAATGATTATTATAAATTAACATATATATGAACTAGTTTAAAATGAAATAAAATTATTTCATTTTTTTAATGAAAAAGTGTATGGAAAGATAGATATTTCTTAATACTTGAATTAGTAAGGTCAATATGTTAGACTTTTTTTCATAAATAATACTCGTTTTCAAAAATATTTATCAAAATAGCACCTCTGCAACTTTATTTACACAACTAGCACTGTTTACTGTTCACGTAATAAAATAATATTATTTCACGTAACTGTTCCCTGTTCACGTATTAAAATAGTATTAGTTCGCGTACTGAACTCTCGCTCAAGCGAAGAAAACCTTCGCTTGAGCGAGGAAATCTGTAACAAAGGGGTAATCTGGGTAAATTCTCGCTCAAGCGAAGAAACCCTCGCTTGAGCGAAAAGTATGATCGATTATTATCCAATTATAGTCGATCACTTTGACATATATGACTTTAGATAGCGGTTATTTGGCCAACCGCTATCTAAACTACTACATTAGAAAGCGGTTAAAGCCTAACCGCTATCTAATATATTTTTAAAAGCGGTTGTGATTAACCGCTATCTAAGGTGACTCAAGCGAAAGACACATCGCTTGAGCGAGAACAGCTTTGGAGCTGGCGCATGGAAGGCCTCCTCTCTCTCACCTTCCACCTTCCAAGTCCATGATGCTCAAGATCACCAAGCGATTTCGTTTCTCCGATTTTGATAAGTATAGAAAGGGGAATGGAAAGAAGTTCTCCAAGGCGTTCAAGGACATGGTGGCTTCTTGTCTAGACCAAGATCCTTCCAAAAGACCCACAGCTGATAAGTTGCTGAAACACCCCTTCTTTAAAAACTGTAAGGGAACTGATTTTCTGGTGAGGAACGTTCTCCAAGGGTTGCCCAGTGTGGAGAAAAGGTATAAGGATAACAAGGTTAATGAGCATGCAGATGAGGGGGAGCATGATGATGATGATGATGAAGAAGACCCTGCCATGCTGGTGAAGGAGAGATGGATCAGCGGGTGGAACTTCAACCAAGACGGGTTGGAGCTTGATCCTGTGTTCCCAAACGATGATGCGGTGGCAAAAGAGGTTGCGTTTGGAAGGGAAGCGGGTACCCAACAAATGGGGGAGCATGTTTATGTTGGTGGTGGTGCAGCAGCAGCAAGCATAGCGGGTGGTGGTGGCGTGAAGAAGGAAAAGATGTTGGCGATCATGGTGAAGAGCACAAGGAGATTTCTAGGCTGAGGGCTGCACTGGAAAATGAGAGGAAGAAGAACTTGCAGTTGGAGTTGCAGCTTCACACTTGCAAGCTTCACCATTCTTCTGCTCTCAATGTTTCAAACGCGTTTTTAATCGGTTGAAACGCGTTTTAATCGATTGAAACTCTGTACAAAGATTTTCCAAGTTATTTTAATCGATTGAAATGCGTTTTAATCGATTGAAATGCGTTTTGAAACATTGAGAGCAGAAGAATGGTGAAGCTTGCAAGTGTGAAGCTGCAACTCCAACTGCAAGTTCTTCTTCCTCTCATTTTCCAGTGCAGCCCTCAGCCTAGAAATCTCCTTGTGCTCTTCACCATGATCAGCAGCAGCAGCTACTTGATGATCACTCTCTTCTTCTCCTTGTATCGTTTTCACCAGAAACTTCACTTCCAACAGCTCTTGTTCCAAGCTCCCTTCCAACTTCACTTCCAACAGCTCTTGTTCCAAGCTCTTGTAGTAGTTTAGATAGCGGTTGACCAAATAACCGCTATCTAAAGTCATATATGTCAAAATGATCGACTATAATTGGATAATAATCGATCATACTTTTCGCTCAAGCGAGGGTTTCTTCGCTTGAGCGAGAATTTACCCCCAGATTACCCCTTTGTTACAGATTTCCTCGCTCAAGCGAAGGTTTTCTTCGCTTGAGCGAGAGTTCAGTACGCGAAATAATATTATTTTAATATGTGAACAGTGAACAGTTGCGTGAAATAGTATTATTTTATTACGTGAACAGTAAACAGTGCTAGTTGTGTAAATAAAGTTGCAGATGTGCTATTTTGGTAAATATTTTTGAAAACAGTATTATTTATGAAAAAAAGTCCAATATGTTATAATGATATTTTTTTAATCATTTTCAATGATGTCCTATTTCTGTAAGTGAAATTCCATATTTTTATATTAAATTCTTTGTAAACATGAGAATATTATTAAATAATATTATTTTTATACTAATTATATTATTGATATTCCTTTATTATTTTATGATTTGATTTAGAAGTAATTGTTTTTTTACTTTAGATCAGTATCATAAATAAATTATGAGATAATAAAAGACTACGAAAATGAAACCCATATTATTAGAAAATAAAACTTAAAAAATAACATATACACTAAAATTAAATTAAGATATTCTTTAAGTATTTTCTATAACATGTTACTCACTCTTGATATAAGTATTATCCTAAATTAATGTTGTCTTTGAGTTTGTTTTAATTTTTAATAAAACATGGTTAAAAAACACACAGTAATAGAGTTAGAAATAAACTATTAATAGAAAAATAAAAATAATTTGTTATTTAAATTTAAAATAGACTAAAAATAATTTTAATTACATTTATTAGTTAAGACACATACATATCATTTCTCATATTATAGTAAAACATAATTTTTTTTAATTTGACCTTCTCCTATTATTTTGATTATAATTTTTTTAGATATCTTTTTAACTAACTTTTATTTTATTAATTTTCTCATATTTAGGGCTTCAATTTTTATATATAGAACATTAAATTAGGAACTCAAAGCTATTTTTATGATTTTTCAAAAATTATTAAGAATATGAAAGTGCGAAGCAAAATTCAAATTCATTAAACAAAATTTTGACAAAATAAAACTTCAAACATTATCCAAAATTCGCTGAGTGAATCTAAAAACATTGAACGAATTACAAGTGCTTTTAACATTATCTTAAATTCGTTGGACAGATTCATGACAGTAACAAACTACATAATTATTCAAAACCATGTTTCTAATGTTATAAATCAAATTAATTTTAAACCTTACCTTCCATACGGTAAATTCATTAACTAATTTCATATATAAGAGCAATACATTCATACAAAGACTATCTTTCTCAATATCATATAAATCAATTATACATTCACATTCAATACAATCATCACCAATCAACACATATACAATCACACAATCCAAAATTCCTGAAACTTAAACAATGTGACCAAGTCACCTTCATAATCCAGATCTTCTAGCCTAGAGTACTATGAAAGTTGAAAAATAATTAATTTCTCTCATCTCAATACAATGCTCCAAGTTAAAAAACTCTAAAAACTTCAAAATTTTCAAGAAGATAGATCATGCTTACAAAAAACCAAATTAACAAATTGACAATATCACAATATTCCTAAACTAGTTAAAATTCATCTTTTTACAATAAAGTTTACATGCAAGCCCCCCATGATTTACATGTAGACCTCTAAACGTAAAATATGCAAAATGGTCTTAAAAAAAAAAAACTCTATTCAAAATTCTGATCGAATAGAATTGATCTCCTATCTTTCAGAGTACTACGTGCGCTTGGATCTAGAAAAAGATGAGAGATGAAACAAGAGATTTAAAGAGAAAACGAAAAAAAAAGAGTTATAAAGAGATGATAATTTTACGAGAACGAAGTTTGAATATTTAAATTTTTCTATTTATAATTCTTTTTATCCAATAAAAATTCAAACTAACTTTCATTATATTATTTTTAGCTAACTTAAATTTGTCCTCGTATTATTAGAAAAAAAAACAACAGTGGAATTCAATTAAGATATTCTTTAAGTATTTTTCATATAATGTATTTCACTCTTATATAATAAGTATTATCCTAAAATTAATGTTGTCTTTGACTTTGTTTTAATTTTAATAAAATATGAATGGTAAAAATAAAAATAAAAATAAATAAACACACATTAATAGAGTTAGAAAAAAATTATTAATAGAAAAATAAAAATAATTTCTTATTTAAATTTAAAATAGATAAAAAACATTTTTTTTATTCAAGGTAAGAAATAAACAAACCCTAGCTTTGTCTACTAGTTCAGATTGAAACTGAGATGGTTAGAAATGTTACTGCAATTCGAAATGGAGTTATGTCCAAATAGAGTAAAGACAAATAATGTATTTGCTGTTACAAGTTATATTAGTTTGACACAAATAGACAAAATCATTTCATACGTTGTAACAAAAAAAATGTCATGTTACTGGTTGTAATACTTATTGCCATACAATGGCGTTTGGACACAGCATCTTTTCAATTTTCAGAAACATCAGGTCCTCACCACAACGTGGCCGAATCCTCAAACTCAAATTCTGAGGTTTCTTCCTGGGTTTTAATTCCTATGTTCATGGCTCTTGTTTTAGCACATCCGACAATAATATTTAAGGACTGAAATTAATGTCAGAGGTGCGTCTTCAAACAAACTTTCCTTAAATGTATAAATACCAGATTTTAATGGAGAAAAAAATCTTTAACATAATTAAACATTAAATTGATAATATTAATAATGTTATCAAATAATCAAATTAATGAATATTTAAAATTGTTATGGGGATAAACTTAAAAATTAATAAATAATTATTTTACTAAATATTAGGGTAGAAATTATTAATAGTGTAATAATTTTCCAAAACATCTTTTCACTTTTTTTATTTATTGATCATTATTCTTACCATACTTTCTTAATCATTACCTTAATATAATTGTCTAAAAAAAAGATAACTTGTCATATTAATTTTTGAATGATGAAAAATACGTTTAAAATTTAGAAAAATCAAATTTGAATAAACTGAAATATAAAAGTTTTTATACATATATTTTGTTATCTTTTATACTATAACATCGAATATATAAAAGTTAGAATAATATTTTTTTCTTTTTGAACTAATAACATCAAATTCAAGTCCTAAATTGCAAATTTTAGAAAAAAACATAGTTTGAATAATATATATATATATATATATATATATATATATATATATATTCTGTTTTAATCTGTAATATCAAATTCGAGTCCTAAATATACAATAATATTAAATATTTGAACTAATAGTTTTACTACTTTTTTATAATGATATTTCTTATCTCAAACTATATTGTCTCTAATGCAAAATGTGGGTGACTTTTATGTAAAAAAAAAAAGTTTTATACATAATCAACCAATCGTACGTTATTATATAACTATTACAATCGGGATATTCTATTTTTATATGCATTTGTTAGATATTTTTGGTATAAATTTTTTTAATTAATTGTCATAAAGTTATTTGTTTATTTCATATTTTATTTTATTTTTACACAATGAGATACTTTGTGTATCCCTTTTCTCTAGCATATAATAAAACTATTGGCCTCTCGTAATAAGTATTTTTAAAATAAATTTTAATTAATTGAGAGTTAAAAATATTTACCTTGATTATACTTTATAATACCCATCTGAAAACTTTAAACATCTTATTAGTTAAATATGTTTTTATTACTAATCGTAAACACTTAAAAAAAATTAGATGTTTTTAGTTTAAAAGTAATTTTTTATTAATTTTTATATAAAGATTTCAGAAAAAAATTAAAATTGTATTATCCATAAGCTAAAATAAATTTATATATAAGATATATTTAAATGAAATTTTCCTCAAGAAGAATAAAAATTGAAAATAAATTCTCGATAAGATAAAATTAATTGTATACATTGATTAATTATTAAAGTTTTTCTAATTATTTTTTAACTTATAAATAAGTTAATTTAAGTTTATAAAATTTTATTTAATCTAATTTTCATTTTAAAGATATTTATGAATATACACATCCAAATACTCATCCAAATAGTTACGTAAGAATATGGTTTTTATTGTTTTTTTCTTCAAAATGAAAAAACTTGTCCAAAAATAAATATTTATCAAGTTTTATAATTTAATATTTTTTGTTATAAAAAACCACTATAATACATATTGTAGAAGTTCCAAAATTTTTCTGAAATGATTTTTTTTTTTTTTTACCAAAAAATGTGATTATGACATACACAGAGGGCAATTTGACACTTCCAACCACCATTTATGGTTCACATAATCTGATGTCCTAAGGAAGCAGCATGAGTCACAGATTTCAGTCTCATCGCTTTCTCTCTCCAACTGATAAGAGACGTAGTCCCATGTGGGTTCCTAGGATCCACTCACTTAACTCTAACTCTCGTGTTCCTTCTTTTCTCTTCAAAAAACTTGTGATCCTCGAACACCCTTTTTCTCCTTTCCATTCTTCTTCTTTTCTCCCTCCAATGGCTGTACCCCGCTGCTGGTTTTCTGCATAACTTCAATTTCTCCTCATTTTGCATCTGGGTCTCGTGAATTGCGATTGGGACTGCCTTTCTTCCGCTTCTGGGCCTCGCTCAGAAGTCAGAATGATGTCTGTCACGGGCAAAAGCATTGATTTTGCAGGCAAAAACTTGGTCTCCTGTGGCTGCTCTTCCAATGCTTCTTTTGATAGGTACTCGGTCAGGAACTACTCCAAGGTGAATTCTAAAGGGTGTGGTAGAGACCATGGAGCTCGTAAATTGGTTTGTTGTAAGAGGAGGAACACTCAGTGTCGGGTTTCTTCTATGAAGACTGCAGAGCCTACGGTGAATGGTACAGGATTTGATTTTAGTTTCATGCATTGTTGTTAGTGTGGAACATTGTACACTGTCAATCAATCTGAACCGTCCCTGGTATGATTTTTCATGTTGTTGTTGTAGAACACAACAAAATTACCAATTGTAATAACTGTAATTGAATGATAGTGTAAAACTGTTTGTACTTTAAGGGTATATACCGTTTTCTCACGAGACGATGGAAATGATCATGTTACTTGGCTGTTTAAATGAAGAAACATGATAGGTATTGGTTATAGCTGTGGAAATAGTCATTGAAAGTTTGGTTTTTGAATAGGGGGGACTCAAGCAATTGAAGGCCTTGCCAAAGGATTGAACTTGAAGGGTTATTCAGAAGCCCCTATTGCCCCAGCTAGGTTCTTTGAAGTGGTTGCTGACGATTTGCTAACTCTCAATAAAAATCTTCAGTCGGTTAGTAATGCTTCTGGGTTCGATGCTTTCTGGTGTTTTATTTAGTATGAAAGATATATAACTGTTACTGTCCTGTCTCGTGAAGTGTTGTGCTGTTGTTCTATCTATTGTGAGTAAGATTGTCTTCAGCAGACCAGAAAAGTGTAGAATTTTTAAAGGAAGGCGACATGGGGCATAGGCGCTTGCATGAAGTTCTTTACTTGTTCTGGGATTTTGTTGTTGTTAACCTTTATTCTTATTTAGGTTTGTTTGATATTGACATGTTTCTTTGTATCTTGATACTAGTTTACAAATTGCAATGTTTTGGGATTAATGATATTAAATTTTTTATTTTTTTTATTGAGATCGGAAAAATTTTATGACCATTTTGAATTGATTGTATTGTACATATGTTACTACTCACTTGTTGGACCTTTTCTGTTTTGTAAGAATGTTTATCCAGTAAATTTGTGCAATGTCCATATTATTCTGATTGCCTGCGGACTCCTTCTTTCTTTTAGCTTCTTTTGCTTTGCAAATGGTTTGATTGGATTTATGTTACCTACTTTTAATGTATCTGATAAAGATGCTTTCATAGATTGTAGGAGCAGAAAACCCAGTTTTAATGTCTGCAGCTGAACAGATTTTTAGTGCTGGTGGGAAGAGGATGAGACCAGCTCTGGTGTTCTTGGTATCAAGGGCTACTGCAGAGTTGCTTGGCTTGAAGTAAGCACATAACTCCTTCTCTTTCTCTCTCTCACACACACACGCATGTACCCATGTGCACATACACACAGGCACTGCCACTGGCACAAGTTCTTTGCCTGATCTGAAAATTCTATATGAAACTATGAAGTTGGGAACTTCATGTTGAAATGTTTACTGACTCCAGGGAACTTACTGCAAAGCATAGACGTTTGGCAGAGATAATTGAAATGATTCATACTGCAAGTTTGATACATGATGATGTTCTCGATGAGAGTGACCTTCGACGAGGTATTGTGATTTCTCTTTATATACCCAATTAATTTTCCGGACTTCACCTTAGATTTCTGATCATTTGTCTTATTTGGTAAGATGAATATTATACAGCAATTCCGCTCATTCCATGAGGTTGTTTTTTATTTTAAGCTGGGATAACCATGTTACAATTTATTTGACAAAAATCAGTGGTACTCGGGCTTGCATCTTGTTTGAAAAATAGTTGTTTCATAGTCTAGAACTTTGCTGATTAGTAATGGTTTTCTGTGCAATAAGAGCATCCACACACTTTGTCTAAGAAAAATATCTCTAGAAAGAAGAGACAATAAAGAAAATAAAAGAATATCATAGTTTCTTCAATTTTTGTGATGTCTTGGAAAGAACTTGCAAATTATACATGTTATGATAAAGCCTTATCCTTCTAGGTGAGGTCATTTTCATGGATTTCAATCAGCCCAATTAATCATATAATAAAGAATAAAAAAATTACACGCTAGAGTTTTTTTCCCTGATGAGCCAATACCTACATGAGCCCCTGCACCCACATAAAGTATGAAATAATAAAAGTGGATAGAAGAATGAAAGAGACACATTGGTGAAGTGTGCGTCATCAGTGCTTCATATTATTGGTTGCATGGAGTTCATCTCTTCAAGGAATTATAGCAGATCAAAATAGCATGATATAATGCAAGTTTTGGTAAAATATACCCTTTTGGTAGGCTGCTAGTGCCATTCTATAGCAAAGAATTGGAAACTACGAGTGTATTTCTCATTACATGCTCATGTGTTATATAAACTTTTTTGTCTTCACTGAAATCCAAAAAATTTGCAAATGGAGAACTGTACACGATTAATCTGTATGAATCCTACATGTCTGTATTGGGTTAGGCCTAAGCTACATATCACCTCTGAAGAAGTGTAAACATGTCTTTTTTTCTTTTTCATCTCTTCTGATTCAATCCCCTCTTTGCTATGAACTAATAGGGAAGAAAACTGTTCATCAAATCTTTGGAACTAGAGTTGCAGTGCTGGCTGGAGACTTCATGTTTGCGCAGTCATCATGGTATCTAGCCAACCTTGAAAATATTGAAGTCATTAAACTTATCAGCCAGGTGAGTTCCATTGCCATGCCTTCTTAGGGCACCATCTGTCACTTGCTTAAAATGATTATTCCAAACAACTGATTGATGCACGCTGGAGCGAGTTACTTATTATGGAGGGTATGAAGAGATGCATAATTCCATTTTCTAAGTTCTTTGGCATTACTATTTGGTTCTTTATCAGGTGATCAAAGATTTTGCAAGTGGGGAAATAAAGCAAGCCTCAAGTTTGTTTGATTGTGATGTTCAACTTGAAGAGTATCTAATTAAGAGCTATTACAAGACAGCATCCTTGATTGCTGCCAGCACCAAAGGAGCTGCGATCTTCAGTGGCGCCGACAGCAGCATCAGTGAGAAAATGTATGAATATGGAAGGAATCTGGGTCTATCCTTCCAAGTTGTGGATGACATATTGGACTTCACGCAATCAGCAGAACAACTGGGAAAGCCTTCTGGCAGTGACCTTGCCAAGGGCAACCTGACTGCACCAGTAATATTTGCACTGGAGAAAGAACCAAAATTGAGGGATATCATTGAATCTGAATTCAGTGAGGTTGGTTCCCTTGATGAGGCCCTCAATCTGGTCAAGAGTTGTGGGGGCATTGAAAGGGCACAAGAGTTGGCCAGAGAGAAAGCTGATCTTGCAATTCAAAGTCTCCAATGCCTTCCTCAGAGTGTGTTTCGTTTAGCCCTTGAGGATATGGTGGCATATAACCTTCAACGGATTGCCTAAGCTTATGCATTCTGAAGTGTAAGGACACACACTCTCTTAAAAAGAAAAGCGCAAAAACATTCTTTGGTCCTAATATATAGGTATAAGAGCCTTTAACATTTTGTCCTTTCAAGAATTCCCACCAAAATCTACACCTGTTCTACTTACTTTTGGGGTACTTGTATACGCATTGAAGGACAAAGCAAGTCCACATTCTCATAATTTAATATATTTGCAGCTTCTCCCTCAAAGTAAAGCACAGCAACATAATATATTCCTTTATTGTATCTATACAAGTTCAACAAGTATATTCTTTCCGCTATTTCCTTTCTGGAATCTTGAAAACAGTAAGAATAACCAATGATAATTGATATTGAATTTTTTTTCGGTTTCCTTTTCTTTTGTACTTTTTGAAGATAAGATAGTATAAAATTGGGCTTGTAAACTCCATACATGCTCATTCATTGTAAAGTAATTATTATCTAAAAAGCGGTCGGTTCATAAGTATGAGACAATCCCACCTAAGTCTGTTTAAATCAAAGGTTAATAAATCATGAGTTGATTTATATAACAAATTTTTTGGTCTGATTTGTATTTATATTGTGGCCTTTTTTAGGTCATCTGACCAACTTTATTTTGATATATCTGATTGTCATACATTATTTTATCTTACTTTTACAAAAAGGTTCAATTTTAAATATTTGCAAATCCTAACACTTTAGGTAAATTGAGTTATTTGACCAATTTTGTTTAGATGGAAAATGAATGAAGAATTCTTCTTTAATATAATACAATTAAAATAGTTTATCATTGCCCAATGTTTGATTTGGTGTCCAAAATTTACTTATAAAATGGCATCCATTTGAAATTTGGTTTTGCTCTGTTTCCAATGATAAGTTGTCGTAGTTGGGTGCTAAAATTATAAGTTGAATGATTTGGACCGTATGATCAAGAAATTGTTGCAGTGATGTGTGGTTTATTTCATCCATAAACTTGGATGTCCAAGGAAACAATCAACTGGTAAAAAACAAATACAAATTTATTTGGAGCTTTTTTTTTTCTTAATAACCTTTTTAACTTATAAAAGGCTGTTGTTTCTTGCACTCTTATAATTTCTCCATACATCCCAGTAATTTCTCTCTGCACCTTCATAATTATATTAAACCTCATTTTACTCTTACATTTATCTTCGTCTTCATCTTCAAAATGCATTCCACAAACACATTCCGAAACACCCAATCCAGAATACATTTTCAGAAAAGATTTTCCAAAAACGCATTTCGGAACACCCAATCCGAAAATCCATTCCGGATTTGGTGTTCCGGAATGTATTACCAGAAACACATTCCAGAATACCCAATCTAGAATGTATTCTCGGATTGACCTTTCTAGAAATACATTTCGGAACACTCAATCCAGAATGTATTTCTAGATTAAATTTTTTGGAATTCAACTTCATTTTCACGAAACTTTTTCATATCGAACAATTTGAGTCTGTTTGTACAATTTGAGTGTAGGAACATATAATTTATACATAATATTAACGATTATTAGAAAATGCCTTCAATGGAGGTGATAACACAAAAAAATCAAATAACATAAAGGATGGATGTGCTGAGGGATGAAGGTGTAGAAGTTGTACACAAATAGAAGAAAAAAAAGTTAGGGTAAAAAATAAAATTATAAGAATGATATTTTAGATATTTGATTTGAGGTATAGAGGTGCAAAGAGAAATTATAGAGGTGCAAGAAGCAAGAGCCCTGATAAAATATTATTTTTTTTAAGCTAATTGAGAAGTGTAATATAAGTTTTAAAAATATGTTACAAGCACGTTAGGCCTTTTGTTATTAACACTTCCCCATTTACTAAATACATTATCCCTTTCTACATTTTTTTTAATGTAAATTTGCTCCTTATTCCTTTCATATATCACTTTGTTTCACCTGTCTTTGTCTAATTAAAATATTGAAATTGTTGTCACAAAGAAAGATGAAAATAATTTGAATCTACCATGTAACTATACTAAAAATACAAGCTCGATCCAATAATATATTTGTGATATTTTTATAAATAAAAATATTTGACATTTTTTTCAGAAAATAATATAAATAAAACTCAACACTATTTTGATTGAACCTATTCTAATGTTATTCTTCGACAAGGTGGATAATTTTGATAGTGTGAAAACAAGCTTAACCTATCTCGACAAGCTTCATTACTATTCATCCATTAATCATGAAATATAAAAAATTAGAGAAGTAATTATATAGTCAAGATATCTAGTTGATATGATAATTCTCTTTTTCAAAACATGAAATCATTCCGATTCATACAACACATTCTAATTCTATATGTTTCCTATTCCTTGGTAGCCTTACAAATTGTTAGAAGTATGCTTCAAGGCTAAATTACTACAACTTTAAGAAAAACCATAGTTAACACCTTATTCTAAAATGTCTTGTCATTGCATAAGAAAGGGAAAGGTGTTGCATCATTTACTTGTTGTCCAAACATATGTAATAGATCAACATATTATAAGGTTATATTGCACAATGTTTTAATTCATATTATAAGGTTATATTGCACAATGTTTAATTGTCTTTGAAAGAGAATTAATATTTGAAAAGTCTAAAAAAAAAAAAAGAATTTGATGTTATTTAGGATGTTAACTTACCATATTTTATATCAATATTTCGATGAAATTATCTCTCTAATCTCATAAGAAAACACGAAATAAACCATTAATTCTTTATATTTATATATATATATATATATATATATATATATATATATATATATATATATATACTTATTTACTGGAATTGATATTAATACAAGATCATAAATATTTTATCTGTCTTAATTTGCAAAAAATTTAACAAACTTTGTCATCAATGACCGACCTATTTACATATGAGAATGTAATGGTACACCTTCAATTTTGTTAAAATTATTGTTAAGTATTTGAAAAAAAAATTTGTCTTCTTTGTAACAACCTTCGAAATCATTACTATAATGATACCTTCGTAAAATAGTAAACAAATAAATAACAACATCTATATTAGATTATATTACTGTAATTGTAATATAGATTGAAATCCCGGTTCATTGGTGGAACCTTAAAACATAGTAACATAATTTATTTATATAGATACATATAAAAGTAGCTCCCACAAAGCTATCCCACTGTACTATTCTGTTGTCCAATAGTCGCATATCCACCTTTCAACTCCTTATTTGCTCCCATATAAAAGTAATCATCGCAGTCCCATCCACATGGAAAAATAGGAGTAAGTATTAAATCATTCTAAAAGTGATGAAGATCTTATTGAATAATTTGATAAAACGAAGATCTTGTTGATTTGATGAAGTCAAATGAAGTCAAAGGCTATTTTGATGAAGTCAAAGGTTACTTGGTTAAAAGGGTAGAATGATTAGTGAGTCTACATCTATACATAGGTATAATCATTCATATCTCTCTTTTGCATGAGGTTTTATCATTTAAAAGATTTTGAAAATGCCTCTAAAGATGTTTAATTGGTTAAAAACCAAAGTAATCAGTTAAATGGTTTTTAAGAAAATTGTTTTAACAAATATTATATGAGATTTATCAATTAAAATGTTCTTAAAACTTACATAACAAATTTTTAACTAATAGGTTTTCGAAATAATCGATTAAAACCTTTTAAAACATTCACTGGAACTGTATTAATCGATACACTTTCAAATTAATCGATTATTTTCATTGAAGGAGTTTTTGAAAACCTTCTGCCAGTATTTTAACTGATATAATTTCGAAATAATCGATTAAAATCACTTAAAATGTTTTGGAAAGTGTTCTGACAGTATTTTAATCGATACAAACTCGAAACAATCGATTAAAATAACTTGAAGTGCTTTGAAAGATGTTCTATCAAGTATTTTAATCGATACAAACTCGAAATAATCGATTAAAACAACTTGAAATATTTTAAAAGGTGTTCGTCAATTTTAATCGATGTAAATGGAATTAATCGATTAAAACAATTTAAGAGAATTTCGCTAATTGTTTAATCGATTAAAAATCGTTATCACTTAGAAAGTTTTATGAAAATATATGGCAGAATTTTAATCGATTAAATTGCGAATTAATCGATTAAAACAACTTAAAGATTTTTTACAAAGTGTTTTAATCGATTAAAATGATGTCGCATCAGTTAAAATAAATATGGAAATTGATCAAGAACATTTTAACAGATTAAAAGGAGTTTTAACAGATTAAAATATTGTTTTAAAAGATTAAAAGATTGTTTTAATAGATTAATTAAACCAGCAGTTAGAACAAATCTCTATATAAACAGGATTGCTTGAGTCTTTTAAAATATACTTTTGAGCAATCATTCAAGCAATCATAAGAGCTACTTTCCAGAAAGAATCACGCAAGTTTTGTGGAGTTTTACAAAGTTCTTTCTTGAGGCAATTTTTGCATTTCTTTTGTGAAGAAACTCATTCTGCAGAGCTGCATAATCCGGGTTTGAGTGTTCTAGTTTATTCTCTTTGCTTCTTTACATTTCTTTATTGTATGTTGGGTGTCTGGAAATGTTGGGCACTGGTTCTGTAGCTGAAATTTGGCTGCAGGTTGGTTCAAGAATTAGAAGTTGGTTCTTGGTGAAGGTTTAGGTGCAAGGACTGAAATTTTGGTTCTTGTGGTTGTTAGAAATGTAGGTTGAGATCAAGAGGGGGGGGGGTGAATTGATCTTTGAAAGTTTTTCGAGATTTACAGATTATCTATTTCAAAGATTAAGAGTTCTGACCAAATCTTGAATCAAATACAACAAACAATCAAAGTAAAGGCAGTGACAGAATTAAAGAGAGAAAGGTTTAGAAAGATACAACCAAGATTTATACTGGTTCACCCAATCCCAGGGCTACGTCCAGTTTCCAGCCAAATTCCAGCTGGGTTCCACTAGATTGAACGTTTTACAGATTACAACTTCAATCCCACACTCAATCTACCATAAGAACCAAAATTCCAGTCCTT